ATATATACATATATACATATATCTATATATATGCATGCATGCTCATGCGGCATGACAACAGACCTGATCTTGCAACTCCAGGAATAAGCGATCCTTATCTTGGATATGTTCTTGAAGATCATGGATTTGCTTAATATGTTGCACTCTTTCAGCTTCAGAGCTATCCCTCTCCCTTCTGAAATATAAAGTAGGTATGACCAAAAACTTCATAGCAGATATAATGTTTATATATAAACTACCACGTTGGCCATCACAAACCACAGTGCTACAACAAAACAACATATCAATATATATAAGCCACGGTTCCAAAATCAATTGAATTGATCAAAAATAGATTATGCAAAAACATACGTTCACCACTTAAAAACAACACACCAATTTCAAGATCCTTGCAATGGAATAACAATTGAAAACTCCAAAACTTACCTGTAGCTCTGGAGCTCTTGGCTTTGTTCCCTCAAAAGGTCATCCTTGGCCCAAGCCTGCTATAACAGATGAAAAGATTTAATTCAATAGAATGGTCAACAAGAAATTGCAAATGAAAACCCACCTGAAGAGTAAGGAAAACTAAGAGGAAATCAAGCTAACCGCTTCATTGTCTAATCTAATAGCATGCAATTCTCTTTCTTTCTCTTCCAGCTTTCTCTCCAACTCATGTATCTTCTGTTCTTTTTCATGCAGTTGCTCCTAGATAATAGATCACATTCCTAAATGTTAGCAACAAAAGAATCATAGCCAATAAAATCCATGAATCCAATGCATGCACTAAAAAGCTTAACAAAACAATGGAGTTCCACCAAAAGAATGTGCAAAACCTGAAGTTTGGCATTGGCATCTGCATTCTCTTTAATCTGAGCATCAAACTTATTTTGTATTCGCACAACTTCAGAACTCATAATAACCTGTGCACGAAGCTCAATCTCCATCTGCTGCAGCCCCTCCCTTTGTTTTGCCAAGGCACCAAGTCTCTGCTGCATAATATCATGGTCCAAACATCCATCAATCAAAATTGAGGAAAAATCCACATCTACTGGCTCCCTCCCACGATGTACCTTAAATTACACATAGCAATTCACCATCATTAGTACTTGCATGATAGTGGCAGTAGAAGGACTCATAAAAAAAATCTACCAAGAACCTAGAAGTTGATTAATACCGTACTTCATATATCAATCTCTCATCAGTCTGAACTAGCTTTGAATGTTCCAACCCCTGCAGCTAAAAAAATAAAAAATAAAAAGATAAATGACAGAAGATTTATGTAAAGCCCTAACCTTCATAATAAATGTTGTGTAAACTAAGTACGATATTCAGACAGTAATCAAGAAAAAAGCCAGTCCAGCAAGTTACTAAACTAAACGCAAACTCGACAAAAATCATTTCAAAACATCCATACTTAATACTAATAACGTCATTTCATTAAAAAACGCGAAGCAGCAAATGCAAGTAGATATGTCAACCTCGTCGCCGGTGTTCCGAACCGATTGCTCGGAAACAACGCGCCACTCCTTGCGAGAGTTATGAGAAGAAGAAGACGACGACATAGGCGGCGCCGGAAAACCGCCATTCCGCGCGCCGGTCGGGACAGCAGGGGCGGCCTCCATGAACGCAGAGAGAACACTCGTCCAAAACCAAATCCTAATTCCTCATTAAACCCTAACCAAAAGCGCGAGAGATTAAAAGTGCATAAATCTAGAGAGAGGGAGAAAAATGGGTCAACGAGGAGTCGAAATCGAATGATGAAAGATCTTTGGCGCACTGTCCGGCAAGCAGTGGAGGGTTGGGAGGGATTTGATTTG